AAGGTATTATTTTAATATTACAAGCGAGACAATTTATACATTAAAAATTGTAACATACGATTCGGGAGATGATCCAAGTTCACGTACAGTGAGTACCCATAGTGGTAATCTTAGATATTCTGCAACGCTTTGAGCAGTTAAAGTTTTCCCAGTACCAGGTGGTCCATAACATAGAAAAATACAGCCATTACCCTTATTTGCAATAGGATCTAAAGATTTCATAGATTGATCTAGACTATTATCAAGTTGATCATTAATATTTCGTATTGGATCACCAGATTGACTCACTAACCCTTCGAGCATTTTTTTTTTATTTTGAGCCATTACAACATGATCAAGGGCATCAATATCAAATACAATATCGGAAAATTTAGAAACTTCAAACAAGCCCCATTCCTTCACACTAAAACTAAATCCATATACTAAAGCAGATGCAAGAAAATAATTAGAATCCTTATGAAGTTCATTCGTTTTAATATAAGTATTCTTTTCTTTGAGCATCTTAACATCGCACTTATTTGGCGGTTTAGAATTTCCCATATTATAATCGGGATTCATAGTAGCAAAACTTTGGAGATCAATCATTACACGGCCATCAGCTTTAAATTTCTCTATTCGCAAGTTTCTCTCGCGCACCAACGGACCCTCATAACTCATAAAGTGGTGTCCTGAGGACAGCTCAAAAAACTGTTTTCCGTTTGCAATTATGCTTTCCTTGAGGAAGTCTTGAGCAGTGGAATGTTCAAATGGGACAACAGGCAAATCGGAAAAGCTCACTTCACCGTCAAACTTGTCAATATCGCGCTCTAATTTGCAATGTTTAAATCCAACACCATCATATTCTATCACATCAATATATACTCTAAAACAATATTGCGGGTGTTCAAATTGTTGAGTCGAGGTAATAATGCCTCCAACCTGCTGACCAGACATCGCACAGCGACTGTAAGTCAGATAACATAAGTGAATAACAATTAGTAAATTTACAATATAAAAAAATAAATTATTTTGAAAAGAAAAGTTAATACTTACTACCATATGTCCAAATTTTCAGTATAGAATACCCATAACATTTCATATGAAACTGCTTTACTTGTAACCATTCTTTCACGATTTTTTATAGTCTGTTTATATTCTTTTTCAATGAATCGGATCAAGCGTTTCAGATAGACTTTACCCTCCACATCAGTCAAGCTTTCTAATAAATCATTAAAATTACCATATCAATTTAGTTAACGCAACTACAAAATTTGGTCACTTAAAGTTGATCGATTGTTAACGTCAATATTTTTGCTCAAACACAGACTTTTAAACGTGCAAAAAGAAACCAAATTGACAATTTTTTCAAACCTTTTTTTTGAGCCTAACTAATACAAAATTAGCTCAGGAATATTTTTCACTTAAGAAACAAATACTGTTATCTTA